CAGACCCTAAGTCTGATTCTCAGGGCCCCAAGAAGAACTTGACAACTGCATTCATCTGCTACCACTGTTAAAAGGCAGCCCACCTCAAGAGGAAATGCCCTAGGAGGCCCCCTGGGCCATGCCCTGAATGCAAAGGTGACCACTGGAGATCAGTCTGCCCTCTGAAGAGGAGGCTCCAGAGCTCAGACCCAGCCTACCAGTTAGTCCAACAGGAATGAGAGGGCCTGGGGCATACTCTGCCTTCTCCCTCTGGCCAGACTGTCATCTCCATGGAGGAGCCCCGGGTAATCATGACTATAGAGGAAAAAGAAAACAGCCTGTTGCTAGACACAGGTTGAAGTCTCTTGGTCCTTCTGTTCAATCCTGGCCTTCCTTCCAAGCTGTCACACCTCAGTGGAAGGCGTCACTGGTGAGGAGGTAATACTCTTTCACAACCCTTAGGCAGTACCTTGTTAGATCCTTCTTGCCTATCTCTGTCTTCCTGAGAAACCAATTTGAAGATACCACAATGTATTACAGCAGCCATTGATATTTTCCTACTCATCTGTCCATAACTCTGTAATGTTTGCATTGTTCCTATGCTATTTCATAAATGGATGTATGTTTATTACTATGTGTTTCCTACAATAACCATTGAGAATAGTCAATGAATATTCAATTGGTCACTCATGTATAGCTCTATTTATTTTCTTCAGAAACCACTTTGAAGATACCAAAGTATAGTACAACCATTGATAATCTACCATTTTGTCTGTAACTATTATTTGTCTGTTTTCCTGAAAAAGTATCTTGTAGATAACAATATGTAAAACAATAACCATTGATAATTTCCTACCACTTTGTAATTCGGTAAGCTCCCCCATTACTGTTATCCTTCTTTTACCCTGTAAAATAAAAAAAAATTTTAAAAAAAGAATTTATAAGACTGGCTTAGAATGGCCACCAGAGTCAGATATGGAAGAGTGCAGAGGGCCTGCCTGCACACTGGAGACTGAAGGATCCATCAAAGTTCTGGAGTTCAAGGCAATGTCCCATGTAAATAATCAGGAGGCAGATGGGTCTGCACTGGAAGGCTAGAGGATCTGTGCCAGAAGCTGAAGCGTCTGCCCTGGAAGCCAGGAGATGACATCCAAAGTGAAGGCAAAGACTGGAGCTTAAGAGAAGATCTGTCCTTCTTCATTCTCCCTTTACACCATCCAAGCAACAAGCCGCCCTAGGGTGGGTTTCCCACCCCCTAGGTGTGAAATTGCTGAGCCAATTTAGTTGAGCTTCTCTTACTCAAACTGACACAATCACCCAGCATAGCAGACAACAGCAGACCTAGCACAGTAGGGAGGAACAGAGCCAAAATAGGTAGAACAGAAATAAATTAAGAGTTTGCTATTTTGGTGTAAGTAAGCATGGATCAACAGCAACAATCTAGCCAGGCATGGTGGCGCACACCTGTAATCCCAGCACTTGGGAGGCTGAGGCAGGAGGATTGTTGCGAGTTCAAGACCAGCTTGGGCTACAAAGTGAGTTCAAGGCCAGCCTGAACTGCATGTGGAGACCCTGTCTCAAAAAGACAAAAAAAAAAAAGCAACAATCTGACTTGACAGAATTATATTATTTATATTGTGATTATACTGTGAAAATGTAGCTGTCATAACACTAAAAGGGTACTTTTACTCCAACTCTTAACAATCTGGAAAAGGTCTGAAAACCACTTATTAAAGCTTACACTGGGCCTGGATATAGCTCAGTGACCCAGTGCCTACCTTACAAGCATGAGGTCTTAAGTTTGATTCCCAGTACTAAAGGAAAAAAAAAAAAGCTTATACTCTTGAAATGAGACACAAACTAATCAGAATATACTTTCAAAACATTTAGACCAAACTCACATACACACTTTAAGCAAACATACAACATACTCTCACACACTTTAAAAAAAAGGATTTGTCCATAATCAAACCTTTATTGAAAAACTGCCATCAAAATAGGAGATCAAAGCTGTGCACCTTACAAAATCAAACATAATTACATTATCTTGGTAGATTCATTACAATTACTGAACTTATGATAAGGCTTTCTGTGAAAAAAACAAGTTCAGAAAGTTGTATAGCTCATTAGTGTTGCTTTCTTCTAAATGAGCAACCTGCAAAGGAAACAGTGTAGTGAGCACAAGTTTATTCCATCTTTGGTATCATTTTGTGGCAAAAGTTCTTTATATTAAAAAAAAAAGTTTTAGGAATATCAGATAAATATTTATATACAAATTATATCTGAGTATATTCTACTATGACCATAACTGTCATTCTGGCTTCTCAAACAATACAAGGGGGTCTAAGTAAGACCAAGCGCCTGAATTCACCAGATGGAAGCTGTTCTGAAGATACACTCTTACTGGGAAAGCTACAGATGCACTTTTGAACTGTGTGTCTGCATACGTACACAAAATTCCAAGATCATGACGTGAATTAAGTTTCCTGAGGAGCAATATTACTCAAGTATCACATGCAGACTTTGTACTCAGATCTTACCAAACCACACCAAATACATCCCAGGCTTACTGCTACTCCACTTATAACTCTTCCAGTGAAAACTGGAATTCACAACTTCCCAAAATATCACAAGCAAATTTCAAGTGCAGTAATTGTAAATCTGTAAGTATTACTACGAAAAACTATATACATACATAATTGTATCTTCTTACTGCACTAAAGTGAAAGCAGATTTAAGATGAGATTTTTATATTAACCATTAAGTAGTTGTTCATATAAATAAAACCTGTGGCATTTTAACTTACACACTATTTGTTCCTTAGCTGATAATGATTTCAAAAAACTTAGGATTTATGTACCAAGAAAAAATTTTAAATCTTATGATGTTAAAAATCCCTGTCCTGGGGCTGGGGATTTAGCTCAGCAGCAAAGCGCCTGCCTGGCAAGCGCAAGGTTATGAGTTCGGTTCCCGGTACAGAAGAAAAACCAAAACCAAAAAAAACAAAAAAAAAACCCTGTCCTACTACATATTGTTCCTCTTGCTTCCATTCTGATTTATTTTTATTTCAAGCAAAGTAGGTGAACAACTACAAAAGAATTGGACTTTCCAAACAAACTTATCCAGTTGAACCGGTCACCCTTTACTTAGAAAAGCTCACAAGGAAAAATCTGTTAACATCTAATTTCTGGAAAAAAAAGCAAAATCTCATTTTGGCGTAGAAAATACCAGGTGATTGGTATACCTTCTGTGAGTCTGGCCTTTCCTCCTGTAGGCTGGCACAAAACTGTTGAACAACCTACACAAAGAACCACCGTCTGAGCATGGCTGAAAACCGTGGTAATCTTGTAGCAACCTTAAAAAAAAAGGACAGCTGGATTAAAAGTGAAAAGCACATGAATTCACAGCACCTGTTCAATGTATTTCTAGTAATAAGTAATATGTACATATTTCCTGTAAAGAATTAGAACTGCAGTGCTGTCCAACAGCAAGCCAAATATGTAACATAAACTGGTCTAGTACCCAGCTTTTTTTTTTGTCTTTCTGAGATAGGGTCTCACTGTGCAATTCAGGCTGGCCTTGAATTCTCAGCAACCTCCCCACTGCTGGGATTACAGGCATATGGTACCACGCCACACCTAGGATCCTAGCTTTTTAAAAAGTGAAACAAATGTCTTATTGAACTTATTATTAACAAAATATTACTATTTCAACATGTAATTTAAGTTTCTTGGGCATTGTTTCTGTGCTACAGCACCTCTCCACTTTGGCCACATTTCAAGTGCTCAGTATCCACATGTGGCTACCGTCCACCATGTTAAGCAGCAGAGCTTTAGGCTGAAGAATCAACATAATCTTTCACTGCATCATGACAAAGAAAACTCATCCTCTGAAGAGCTTACTAAGTGAAATATCATATCCCCTTTGGACACCCATCTCTCCCAACCCTTATAGTTCTGCTATTGAGTATATTTGGTAAAACTACTATGGTTGAGCACATTTTGAAAATGTCCTTTATGACATTTCCAATTCTGTAATCTCACTTCTATTCAACAGAGGGTCCTAACGTATCTAAATGAACACACCAAAACAGCCATCTCTATGGACATTCCCTTTAGAATAAGAATTAATATTTGAAATTTTACCTGGACATTTTACATCCATAAAATAAGAATTTGGACTTTGAACTAGCCGTTTCTTTTTATGTTTTTTCTTTTCCTCTTCCAAGGAAGGGTGCAGTAAATCTCTGGCCAACTGAATTTCAAAAATAAAAAAAAAAAAAAAGAAGCGCATATTATTATTGCTGGTGTTAAAGCAGGATCCAGGCAGATTTAACCATACGAGAAAAACACAGGCAAAATAGGTGTTAACAGTCACACTCGGCAGAGGCAACACTTCAGATGTCCAGCCTGTTGTTTTTTTTAATCTGATAATAACTTTTAATACTCTGCTCCCCGAAGTCCCTGCAATAGGGCTTCGCGACGATCTGGACGCATATGGTAAAGCTGATCTCAACGAGTGTCCGGGTTCTACCTCGCTTGCAATCTGTCATTTAATACAAACAGACCTGGCAAGCGAGGTAGAACCCGGACTCCGACCCCGGGACTCGCGCCCGCAACCCACGCGCGGACGGAGACCACCCGCGCCGGGGCGACTTCGCGCCCGGGGGCTGCGCGTCTGATCTGACCGGAGGCAGCGCTGGACGGGATCGATAAGCAACCGCCAAGCCAGCTTTAAACGGAGCCGAGCAGCACATCGCTCCCCAGGCTCGGGAGA